TTGGTTACGGTGCCACCGAATTCTGTGGAATTAGCAAAAGTTACACTGACTCCTAACAAAATAGTAGAGCTTTTTGCAATCTTCGATTTCGCCATTTCTGCTCTTTGTACAAAATGCATTCATCGCGTCATTTTATTATGCTTTCTCTCATGTATGCTTCATGTGCAGGTTCCAATAATGCTGCCCAGTTAATGGGCACGTAGGTCGCGTCACTAGCTAATTGTCTTTCGAGCCATCTATGGCGCTGGCGGTGGGGACAGGCAAACGTTCCTAGCTCTCATCAATGCTTTATTAAAAGTTACCCAGAGATGTCTCTTCTCTAGCCGCATTCTTCCTTCGTGTTACATTCTCCAATTTATAAGTGATTCAGATAGCACTAGCTGCACTTTCCTTTAAAATTTCATCAATATTATTTCTCTTAATGCATAACTCCTGATCCTGCTTCCCTAATTTGAATCAGCTCTGACCAACAAGAAGACTTAGCTTTGTTCTAGGGTACTGCAGTGGTGATAAGCATTTCATCTTATACGCGAATAATCTGCCTGAAGAAAAATCACTGATTCTTGTTCTTCCTACATCTACCTATATCTTGAGAAGGGAGGTAGCCCATTAAGTGTCTTTATGGAATTGACAACACTAATTGCTACCAGAAAAGTCGTCTGCAGTGCACAGCTTCATGCTCAAAATGACCTTTCAAGTCGTGGATACATGAACTGTCCACCCTCGGTTTTACCAAATCTGGATACATCTTTCCAATGGCGACCACATTTTGGGAGAGGCAAACTTTCTCCGCTGAACTGCATGCTTACAGGCATAATTGCAAAGTTACCAATTGAAGACAGGCCACAGATGTAAAAAACGCCAAAATTGTTGTAATAAAAAGACTACTGTCTCAAATTTGATAGTACCATACATAACATGACATAGGGATCCTTTGACGCGGTATTTAACCAAAGATCGTTGCATGGATTACCCTCCAGTTCAGAAACGATTTTCACCCAACCAATATGGTCGAGAAGATCCGTGGAAGTTGCCTACGATCTCACGACTCAACCAAATTCAGAACCCTCATATTGAGGTCCACCGCCTTATCTTCCCACATTAGGTGAGCCTTTCCTTCCCTCATCTTGTCTGCTTAAAGCTACTTCAGATCATTCCTGCTAGCTCTAGGCAGGCTAGAATGACGCCTACGCCATTTTCGCATGGATTGTGGCGAGGCCAGATCAGTAGTAAATCTTAAGGCTCTCCCAAACAATCATCGCAAAATTAGGATTGCTTCACAGCTAACCAGATCATTTCGCAAATGTCATCAAAGTGAACAACCCTGTGAGTTACCTTCATAATGCATTCGTTTCATGACCGGTTTTTTGCTCAACATGTGATTGGGGTCTACCTCACAGTCTAATGCGTTTAAATCACGTGCCCCTTTTCGATACCTACGACAAAAGTTTGGGCTTATAAGTCAAGCTTCCTCGGGTGGGGTCCTGAAGTGCCTTATGAACCACTCTTGAATCATAGAAAAAGTGCAACTTTGCTGATATATCACCTGACTAGCTTCTACTGAAGATAGTGGGTAGGCTTCTCACCAAAACTGAACATAAATAATTCTAGAACAATGCGATCACATACCTTGAAGTCAAGAGAGACGATAAACCTGCAGAGGCCGATTCTTCAGATGTTCACTTTGCACTGACTGCCACTCGTGTAGGGAAGGAAAGAAGACCAGAGGCTCTCATGCTTCCCATGACCCAGATATCAGTTCCATTTTAGCTCAGTTTTCCCCACCAGCTACTGGAAAACAGACTCAGGTAGAGGAATTCTTAAATGCGAATATGCACAAACATACAAGCTAATGGGAGGAGTGGACACGCCACTAGACCTCACTGTTAAGGGGCACGGTCTCCACCTCCTCCTCGGTGGTTTTGTGCGGTTCCGTACGAAACCTAGGGGTAGTAGTGTCGTTGCCGGAGGGGAAGCAGCCGATTTGGAAGCTGCTTTCTCCCTCTTTGATGACGGCTTCTTAACCAAACTTCGCTCGCCTCCCCCTTCTCTCGATCCTCTCCACATCTACGATCGTCACGACGACAAAAATCACCACCGTTACCTCGTAAGCGAGTGAAAACAGAAGGCAGATTGATTAAAATGTTCTAGCAACAAAATATCGTTGTGCAGCTAATGCACACTACGACACTTTAATTATTTTTGCTTGCATGGAATGCATTACATGGGGAGTGACAAATACAACTCAATAGTGGTTGGGGATAATTCCTCCGTTTTAACAACAGATTTTCTTCAGCAAAATTACATTCCGCACTGGATGCAGAGGTATTCGCAAAACTTTGGTTCCATCCGCGGTAAACTTAAACTCGCACA